CTATGTGCAACTTGAGAAATCGCAGAACGTAACACAGATGATCATAAGAAGAACATAAGGCATACTCCATTCACTAAGGGTCAAATACCAGATATTAAATTCGTTCGTTAAGTCAGGATGTAGATTTATGTATTTTTTTCTGGTTTGAGCAGTTTCAGTTTTTTGATGGTCAGTTGACCGAAACCTATCCAGATAAAATGAGATGTTTTTTTGGCAATAGTAAACAGATGTTTTGTGGTCACTCTTTATATCATTTTAAACCTGAAATAAAAATGTTTGAGAGCTTTTCAGTGTCGGTTAACCGACACCGGTGCATACCCATTGCATACCTCCTATAACTATACTAATCATTCATAAAATCGCATATGAATATCTCTAGAGATCTACATGGACAACGTGTTTTTGTCCAAGTCCATCCACACCTATGGACAGAGCCCTCTCATTGTCCATTATATTTACAACATGCTTTTTATATCTTAAATCTGCAATAGATAATATTGCAATTGTGAAGTGTTCAGAAAACAGCTGCTAAACTTTTTAATGTCTGTCCATGTCCGTCTGTGTACAAATTTCAAAAGATTAATATTAACTAATAACTTCTTCTGTTTTGAAAATTTTATCCTAATGGGTACAATAATTTGAATTCATACTGCATAATTCCTTTCTTAATAACAAATCATTTTTTTCATTCAGTAATAGTTATTAAATATTGGACTAGCTCAGTTTGTAGCACACACGTATCTTAACTAGAAGGACTCCAAAAGAAGTATAAAAAGACGGTTCCACTACGATGTATTCATTTTGTCTTTCATACTTCACATGTAATGATCAGAAATATTGTTTTATTCGGTGATACTGTAGAAATATGGAGCTAAACACCTAACAATTTCGATTTTCTTTGACAGATCTGGTGTGATATTATTTCTTTACTTGTACTTTCGATTTATTCGGAAAATACGTCAGAAAGTCACCAGTTCTGTCGAACTGTGAGTTCATCATACCAACATGTCTGCTGAATATAATTTACTCTTTTTACTGTTGTTCCAAAATTAACTAAAGTTCTAGTCAGATTTGAAATTGTTCTCTTGTCAGTAGATTAATCTCTTCTCCACAAACAAGTCATTATAAATATATATAAAAATAGAATAAAAGATCGTTTGCTTCCACCATAAAGAATGTTCTCGAATGTCAAAAGAAAAAACTGGATTTCTGTAGTGCAGTGGCTGTGTAATTTAATCCTCATCATCATCTTCTGTTGGCATATCGATTAATTCTAATTCATGTTCGTGTCCTTTATTCTTACATGCTGCACACAAATCATAATTGCCACACGTTTCACAATGATATCTCAAACCCACTAGTGGTCCCATGCTACATCCGTCGCAACTGACACTGTTCCAGACAAAGTCTTCTGGTTTTACTGGATCATATTTTACTATTTCACCTTTTACCCAAGTTTCAATTGCTTTTAATTTATTTCGATCAATATCACCTCGTCCTTTTGTTGTCAATGTTTCACCAGATGGTTTAATGATCACCAACGATGGAATACCTTGGATTTTATAATAGGCACTTAAACGTTGTTTAATCATACGATTTTCAAATGGAACTGCTTTCCATGGCATCTCTTTGTAATATTCATTGAATGACTC